CAAATTCTTCATACAGCAATCTCTTCCTCGTGGGAGGCGACGTCTTCTCTCTTCTAGCGATAGGTGAGGCGGCCGAACACAAGAATACAGCGTAGCCACCGGCTCTGATCGTGAATTACCGGCAAAATCCGAGCTCAGGATCGTCTTAATATTAACTAAAACTTAACTAAATAGCGACAAGAAGAAAAAAAGAAAAATAATACAATAATCGCAAGAAAAAGAATAAAATTAAGTAATACAATAATCGCAAAAAAGAAATAAGAATAATAAATAATGTCGCACATTCGCTTGTGCGCTCGCCCGCTGACCCTGAAGGACCCAGGATCTCGCATTATGCTGCTTTTCCGAGTGACTGACAAAATGTCACGTCACAACACACAAAAGTCGTTAGATACTATTCAGAAGAATTCACAGAAATTTTTTTAGAAAAAGGTAAGTGTGATATTTTATAATAATTTATACATATGTGTATATGTATCCGCCTTGTAGGGTTATGTTCAGTTTCCCACCCGAGTGCCACCCAGGTATCCTTATATCCCTATTGTTTACCAAATGTTAAACAAGGATTAGTATGCATTTGACGTATTTGTTAGATCAAAAATTAATACTGTTTAATTAAAGTGATATATTCCATAATAATAAGAATGATGGTTGTGAAGGAGACTATATATATTTTACATATGCAAATATTTCTTACGCTAATCTGAGGGTAAGCATAATAATTGGTCAATTATACATATGGATTTTTTGAAGAATTATTTACAATATTTACATGTTAGTTTTTTGAAAAATTATTTACAATATTTTTAATACTAATATTAATTCAGACAACAATATCGTAACCAATAAGCTGAAGAACTTCATTGGCCGAGGGTTGTGCTTATTCTTGGACACTTTAATCCCAATCGAAACATGAATATATAATATCATCGCTGAAGATGGCAAGAAATTATTGCCGAAACGTCCGGAATTGTTCGTAATCATTCGAAATCAAATTAGTATTGTATATTGTTAAATTATAACCAACATATTGACTCTATTTGCCTGTATAAATGCAATGTATTTTATATGAATACATAGGTTTTATATATTGATTATTAAACAAGGATGTCATGACACCTGGGGAGCACTCGAATGGGAATCTGAACACGCCTTAGTGTTGAAAAGTAATGCGTTATTTGTAATGCCGTTGCAATTACATTTTTCTATCTATAACGATAATAATAATGGTAACGAATGTTATTGTTACTTTCTTAAACGTATATTAAAACAAAACTCTCTCTACAAAAGATCATTAAAATTTTGGTGATATAAGGCATTGTTACGTTGCAAGTACGGTAATGATAATGTGTTATTTTTTGAAATTAGTAACAAGTATTTAATGGTAATAAATTACTTTTTGCAGAAGATAACAACAAGATAACGCACTATATTTTTAAAGAGGTTGTAGGGTAAATACAATATGCTAAGAATTATTTGAAAAAATTATAATTTTAGAATAATTAATTATAATAATATTATAATATTATAATATTATTTATTTTATTATAATCTATAGATTCTGCAAAAATAATACAAAAAAATTAAAGACAGTTTACATCTGTATCAAAAGTTATTTGAATAAAAAGTAATATTTTTTAATTTGTGCTCAAATAGAAATATATCGAAATGTAATGTCTTTATTTTTTTAAACTTTTCTCATTTTGTAAACTGGTTTGTTAATAATTTCAAATGTTTTATATTATATTAAACTTGGATTAATAAATTACTATTTGAGTTGAATATAATTAAGAAATAAAAATTTTTTTTTAACACGTTTCTTTTTAAAAAAAACGTAGAAAAACCAAATAGATGGGGGACGTATTACCATCTTTTCCTCTAATAAGTTTTTCTTGTATTAATTACTATGTTATTCTAATTATTCTGTTACAGTTCCTCTTCTTTGGATTGAATACATTTCCTTCTTTCCTTTGTCCGTTTACCATTTTACTTTCTTTTCTACTTCGACAAATAATTTTTTAATTAATAATGTTAACATGTCAAATGTGCAACCATACATTTTCTTCTATAATGTTATACAACAATCATCAACTTTTTCACAAAAATATGCCTAATCTAAGAATAACATGTTTTTTTAAAAACTGTGGAAAACAATTTAATAAATATTATAATTTTAAAAAACACATTTATAGATGTCATACAATAAATAAGGATAATAAAACGAATGTAATTTATCGTTGTAAAGAAAGAAATTGTAACGTGTGTTTCATAAATAGGAAAGATTTCAATACACATTTGTATAATCATATAAGACAAAGTAAAATTGGAATCTATTGTGGATATTCAGGTTGTTCCACTAATATTATTTACAAAACAGTCAATACTTATGCAGTACACATGATGTAGATATCATTCAAATATTACTTTATACGAACAACGAGTTGATAATGAGAATCACAGAGAATTCAATTTTGATACTGATAATTGCAATTTTTACTCAAAAGAAGAAAATTTTAATTAGATTTCCGATGATGCAGTGCATTATGTAAAAGCTATATCGCAATTATACTTAAATTTATCTACAAAATATTTTTTGACAGAACGTGCTTTACAAGCTGTAATAGATTGTATGTCATCTATAACCGAATTTTCTCGACAACATTTTATTGCTACTTTAACAGAGAGTAATCTACAAAATGACGTTAAAGACAAAATTAAAGATATGTTTCAAAATAGTTACCATATTTTTTCAAATCTTTACAATCCTGTAAACGGTTTGTTCGAGCTTGAACTATAAATAATGCCGGTGAGAGAGGTTAAATATGAAGAGAACACTACTGTAAACGTACACGCTTCGTACCGTTTCTTCTTGTAATGTCTTGTAATAATGGCGCGTGTTCTTCCACACTTATATGCTTGCCACCTTGCGGGTGGTCACAAAGAAAATCTCTAGTAACTAGTGGCCCCTGATTGGCCGTAGCCAGCGCCTGGTGAGTCGGTAAGACGGACGCGGATAGCACCGCTAACATCATCCCCCCTTTGGAAAGGGTGAGCTTTACAATAACTTGAATAATTAAATATACTAATACAATATGTCTGAAATAAAACTTAAATAAATTTAGCTCACGGGGTGTAATCGAAAAAACAAAATTTTAAACATAACATTTTCGATATTGCGCTGGAGATAACAAATAATAATTGAATAACGTAATAATCAAGTGATTACATTGTCTTCTAATGGTAGAATACAAATTTTGGGCAAAGTTCGTTTGCTTATCCCTTGCTTAGTGCGCACAGAGATTAATCGAATAATTCCATCAGGCCCTGGATGGACTTCAGTGATACGACCTAATGGCCAAGTCATCGGAGGGGTATTTTCGCCCTTAACGAGCACCATAGTGCCTACCTTTAAGTTCAATTGTTTACAAGTTTTCCATTTAAAACGCTGCTGTAGCTGCGACATGTATTCGGACGACCATCGCTTCCAAAAATGCTGTTTTAATTGTGAAAGTAATTGATATCGTGTTAAACGATTCGACGGAGTTTGAGCAGAATCGCGATCCGGAATGGCCGTAATTGCCTCACCTATAATAAAGTGACCTGGAGTCAACGCTTCGAGATCGGTAGTACATTCAGAAAGCGGGGTGATAGGTCTCGAATTAAGGCACGCTTCTATCTGTGTCATGACAGTATATAATTCCTCGAAGTGCAACAAGCTAGTGCCAACGATCCTTCTCAAATGTGTCTTTGCGGATTTTACCGCCGCTTCCCATATTCCCCCTACATGTGGAGAATATGGTGGAATAAACTTCCATTCTATGAATTGTTCAACCAAGTAATCATGTATTTGCTTTTGAGTGGTCTCTTTAAAAAGACACTCTTTTAAATCTGCTAATTGATTATTGGCGCCTACGAATGTAGTACCATTATCAGAGTATAACGTTATGCATTTTCCCCTTCGGGAAATAAATCGCTTTAGTGCATTGAGAAAGGCCGTGGCAGTCAAATCAGACACTAATTCAAAATGTACGGCTTTCGTGGCTAAACATATGAAAATTGCTAAATAGGATTTGCCTGTCTTATTTCTCGATATTTTTATACTAAATGGGCCTGCATAATCTATTCCGGTATTAAGAAAAGCTCTGGCTTGAGTAACTCTAACCGCCGGCAGATCTCCCATCAGTTGATTCAAGCTAGTTGGCTTTGCGCGAAAACAAACAATACACTTTCTTAATATTCTACGCACTTCGCTCTTACCAGCTATTGGCCAAAAATTGTTACGTATTGATGCTAGAACCGCTAGCGATCCTGCGTGCAGATTTTTATAATGCACATCCTTTATTATTAAGTCAGTGAGATGATGCTTTTTTGGCAATACGATAGGGTGCTTTTGTGTATATTCTATTGGTGCGTGATGGAACCTTTCCCCAACACGAATAACACCGTTAGAATCAATGAATGGATGCAACGTTGAGAGTTTGCTTTTTATATCTACCGCTTTATTTTTACGCAGATCCTTTAATTCTTGTGCGAACTCGTTCGCTTGACAGATCTTAACGATTGCCGTTACAGCTATCTCTAATTCCTCTACCGTTAATGGTCCGGTGGACTTATTTGCAGTTTTTAAAGACTTGTTTTTAAAACGAAAACAGTAAGCTATTACGCGCTTTAACTTAGTAAATGATGAAAACCTTTTAATAATATCTGAATCAAGTTTAATTGACGTGAGAGCCATTGGATTTACCTTACGTCTTTCTGGTATGTGATTTTCATTGCCCTTACAATCGTATGGCTGTATTTTCGTGTCCTGCTGTAGGAATTTTGGACCCTCCCACCAAATTGTTTTTGACTTTAGTATATCAGGATTGACTCCTCTGGACAGCGGGTCAGCGGGATTATCTTCTGACCTTACGTGATACCACGCTGCCTTGTTAGTGATGCGATGGATTTCAGCGACCCTGTTTGCGACAAATGTGTGCCATTTATTAGGCTCGTTTCCGACCCATGACAAAGCTATCGTTGAATCGCTCCAATAGTATATATTGTGCGTAGCAATGTTTAATGCATGTGAAGCTTTTTCGGAAAGGCGCGCTAATAAGATTGCTCCACATAATTCTAGCCTAGGTAATGATAATCTTTTTAAAGGAGCTATTCTCGATTTGGCGCATAATAACCTTACAGTATATATTTTTTTGCTTGTAATGCTGCGAATGTATATGCAAGCACCGTATGCCGCCTCTGATGCGTCGCAGAATCCGTGTAATTCTATTTGACTCTGACTATCTTCTATTACCTTTCTGGGTATCTGAATCTGTTGAATATTGTGAATTTGAGACCTCCACTGTCTCCACATTTCCAGTATTTCTCCTGTAATTGGGTCATCCCATCCTATATTGGTCTGCCACAGGCGTTGTAATATTATTTTTGCCTTAACTATGCTTGGTCCCAACCATCCGATGGGATCGTGTATCTGCGCCACCTGGGCTAACACCTTGCGTTTAGTGATCTTGCCTGCTTCTTCGGAGAATCTCAATTTATAATGGAATGTGTCATAGTTGGTGTCCCAATGCAATCCTAGTATTTTTGTGGGCTCTCCAATTTTTACTGTGGAGTTATTGCGAGTATCTTGATCGCTGATTTCCGGAACGTTGGATCTCCATTTCCGTATATCAAACCCGGCGCTAATCAGTATTTCAACTATGTTTTCTTTTAGCTCCTTGAGATCCTCAATTGTAGATGCTCCCGTTAATAAGTCATCCACGTAAAAATCATTTAATATGGCACCACTTGCATTAGGATGCTCTTTGAGATGTTGCGATGCTACTTCTCGAAGGCATCTAATCGCTAAAAAAGATGAACTGGCTAAACCATACGTAACTGTGTTGAGGCGAAATGTACGGATAGGTTCCTCCTCGTTCCATCTCCAAAGAATCCGCTGGAGATAAGTGTGTTCTTCGGCAACTTTGACTTGCCGATACATTTTGGCAATGTCTGCAGACATGGCATATTGGTGCTGACGCAGTCGAAGAATAATACAGAATATATCTTCTTGGATCGTGGGTCCGACCCTGAGACAATCATTAAGTGATATTCCAGTTGAGCTCTTGCATGATGCGTCAAATACCACCCTGATCTTCGTTGTATCACTATCTTCCTTCGTGACTGCATGATGTGGGAGGTAATAAGACAATTTAGATTGCTCGTGTCCCGGCAATATTTCTTCCATATGATTTAAATTTAAGTATTCCATTATAAAATCGTGATAGGCCTGTTTAAGTTCTGGTTGTCTTTTGAGCTTTCGCTCTATTGCCTTAAAACGTTTTGCCGCTGCTACACTGGAGTCGCCTAACTCGTCAATGTTGTCCTTCAGCGGTAACCGAACTATGAATCGACCTTCTGGGTCTCTGACATGCGTCTTTAAGAAGTGCTCTTCACATAATTTTTCTTCTTCAGAGATGGGTGATGATTGCTCTATTTCTTCCATACTCCAAAGTTTTTCGAGCTGCTTATACAAGGTTATAGTCATCCCACAATAGGATTTCTTTCTTTGGCACGCGTTAGTCGCTGTTAGGGAACCTGCAACGATCCAGCCCAGAAGAGTTTCTTGAAACACGAGAGATCGGTTTGATCCTCTGATTTGTCCTTGACGCATGAGATCCCAGAATATGGAGGCTCCTATTAGTATATCCACGTCACGAGGAATGTGATACGTTGGATCCGCTAATTCTAAATTATTTGGAATGTCTACTACTGCTTTGTTTATTCTGTATATCGGCAATTGTTCTGTAATCTTGTCAATAATTAAGAAAGGAAGAGTAATCTTAAATTCATTTACGCGCGACTGAATGGTCGTGTGCGCTTGTTGAGCGATTTTTATTGGCATGTTACTTATGCCCCCAACAGACATATTGATCTCCTCCTGCTTTAAGTTTAATTTTTTGCTGAATTCACGCGTGATAAAATTAGATTGCGAGCCACTGTCGAGTAGAGCTCGGCATTCATGCAAGGCCCCATCTCCATCACGCACCAAAACTATGGCAGTTGACAAAAGAACTTGAGAGCCTACCTTTATGTTACAGTTATTTAAAGTAGATACGCACTTAGTTGATACAACGGCAACTCCCTGGCTAACGGTCGCAGACTCAACATTCTCTGATTTTGCATTATTGTTGTTACTTGGAGTTTCAGAAACTGCCTTGAATTTATGTAATAGCGTATTATGATATCCACGGCACTCCTTGCAATTAGGAGTTTTACAATTTCGTCCGTGAAAGCTGTTAAGGCATTTGAAACATAATTTTTTCTTTTTTGCTTCAGCGTTTCTGTCCTCAGCTGATAAATTAAGAAATGCGTTACATTCATGCAATTTGTGATTTTTAGAACACATTGGACAATTTTCTTTATTCGCCGAAACATACGTTTGAGAGGCGTTTTTATTCTGAGAGTGAGTCACCTTATTATTGCAAGTATCGCCAGAGGGCTGCACATTGCGATTTGCATGAGACAATGCTTCTAAAAAAGTACTACGATTTATTAAAAAATCTATAAATTCTGTTAGAGTGGGGAATTCCTCCATTTTGGATCGTTTTAATTCCCACTCCCTCCGTGAACCCCTGTCCACTTTTGGTAATATAATGTGAATTAGCAATGTACTCCAGCTCCCAACAGGTTGCTCCAGCTTTGATAAAGTTTGAACATGCTGAGACACGTTGTCTACTAACTGCCTTAAACCTGCATAAGATTCTTTATTGATGGACGGCAAATCGAGCAACGTTTGAATTAGATGTTGCACTATTAAACGCTTATTCTCGTATCTATTTTTTAATAATTCCCAAGCGATTACATAATTATCGTTGGTTATTTCTAACGAGGTTATCACCTTAGCTGCTTCACCGGTCAGTGCAGATCTCAAATAATATAATTTTTGAACAGCTGAAAGAGCTAGACTTGTTGCTATAAGTGATTCAAATAAGTCTCTAAACGGTACCCACCGCTCATAGTTACCGTCAAATTTAGGCAAATCTATGGTTGGCAATATCGTGCGCGTTTGAGCGATTGCAGGTTCAATTACGACAGCTGGTTGCGGAATTACTGCTTGAGGCATACCTGTTGCGAGCTGAGGACTCGTTGGGCGTTCTTTCAACTTGATTTGTCGAGCCCTGCTTATCAATTCGTGGTACGAATCCTCAAAATTTATACGCTGGTGCGTTTGAGCTTCAGAATCATCTAAATCCTCTATTTTATTTTGCAACAATTCAAACTCATTCCATAATTTTTCGGCTTTCTCTAAACGACTGCTTAATTCCAGTTGTTTTTCTGGTTCTATAACTAACAGAGAAAGAAAATTACCGAATGTAGTAAGTTTGGCCTTAACGCGGCCTCTCTGCTTAATCAAGCTCGCAATTTCATCCATTCTGTAACAATTTTTAGCCAATTAATACGAACGTTTAAAATATATGCGACGTGAAGTATTGCAATATTAGCGAAAATACAATATAAGCGACAACAGCAGCGGAAATACAACATAAGATACAGTACAGTAACGATAACACGAGCGCATTAACCTCTATTAATGTCGTGAGCTAATTTACCTTTTTACAGGAAAAATTGCTATTACTTATCTATTCGTTAAGGTACAGATAATTTCGCTGTGAGATCCTCTTAATTTCCTGGAAGAATATTCCGCCGTCATGTCCTTGAAAATAACGTCCTTGAAAAATGATGAGGCTTCTCTATAAATGCCGAGCGGGAGACTGGATGCCACCTTGGTAGCGTACGAAGGAGATCGCACGTCGCTTCCTGCGATTATAATTCCGTATCGGGGCTGGGATGCTTCCGGTACGCCTTGCGTTTCTGGATCGACAAAGATGTCGTACACTTACTGGCAGCGAAAATAGAAATGAAAGGCGGCAATGTTGGCTACGCCTGTATGTCCGTGTAAGAAACTGCACGCTACTAGCAGTGATGATGAAGGCGGCAATGTCGACTACGCCTGCTGTCTCCTTGTTATAATATACTACCCGTCGCCTACTTACTGCGTAGCGGGCTTACAAAACAATGCGGTACGTCGCGTGCACTGCTTCCGAGTCGATGATCGTTCCCTTCTTTGAATCTCCGTTAATGTTGCTAAGCGGCCGTGCCATTCGTGCGCGTGCTAGTACGACGCGTAACGACCACTGCACGGAGATTCACCGTGTCGTCTCTCTCAATCCGGCTCGAAGGACCAATGTTCGAGCTTGAACTATAAATAATGCCGGTGAGAGAGGTTAAATATGAAGAGAACACTACTGTAAATGATTCTCGTAGAAAGCACACTTTATTAACGTACACGCTTCGTACCGTTTCTTCTTGTAATGTCTTGTAATAATGGCGCGTGTTCTTCCACACTTATATGCTTGCCACCTTGCGGGTGGTCACAAAGAAAATCTCTAGTAACTAGTGGCCCCTGATTGGCCGTAGCCAGCGCCTGGTGAGTCGGTAAGACGGACGCGGATAGCACCGCTAACACGGTTGTCTTAGAAACACATATTCAAGAAATGTATATTTTAAAGAAAACTTTAACATGGTGACACCTAAACAAATAAATTTAGGATTTGGTATCAACCACGAACAATGCTATTATCATTACATTCCAATTGTGAAAACTTTAGAATTTTTATTGCAAAATTCTGACATTCGACAATTTTGTTTAAATTCCTATAACCATTGTAATGATAATATATTGTCTGATATACAAAGCGGTAATGTAATAAAAAGTAATAATTTTTTTAATAGCAATAGGAATGTTTTACAAATTATATTGTATCAAGATGCATTTGAGGTGTGTAACCCATTAGGTGTAGCAAAAAAAAAGTTTAAACTTGTCGGTATATACATGGTTCTAGGAAATTTACCTGCTTATCTTAGATCAAAAGTTGAACACATACAACTTGTTATGCTGTGTTATGAAAAATATATCAAATTTTTTGGTTGGGATAAGGTACTGGAACCTTTAATAAATGACTTGAGAAGTATAAAAAAAGATGGAATAATTATTTCTGTTGCTGATAAAACAATTAATTTTGTTGGCACTGTAGTAGCTGTATTAGGTGATAATTTAGGAAGTCACCAAATAGGTGGTTTTACAGAAAATTTTCATTCTTCGACTTATTTCTGTCGTTTTTGTGACATAACTCAGAACCAGTTACAGTTAAAAAATATGTGTACAAACATTAACAGGAATCCAAACAACTACAACTTGCATGTAAAACAAGCCAAAACAGCGATGACAATAGTAAAGGGTGTAAAGCAAAATTCACCTTTGAATAAGCTTGATCATTTTCATGTATGTAATCCAGGATTACCGCCTTGTATAGCTTATGATCTTTTTGAAGGTATTGTTCCTTATGATCTTATGTATTGTATTAAATATTTTGTCAAAGAATCTTGGTTTACTTTCGATTTTTTAAATTTTCGATTGAAAAAAATTAGAATTTTAAATGAAAATACAATAATGTTTCTCTTATAAAGGCTTCAGACTGCAAACTTACAGGTACTGCAAGTCAAATTAAAAGATTACTACTGATATTTCCTTTAGCTGTTTATGATTCAATTAAAAATATTGAAAATAATACTTGGTTATTAGTACTGCATCTTCGCGAAATCTGTTCTTTGGTATGCGCTCCTGCTTTATCTATTGGTCAAGTTGCGTTATTACAAGAAAAAATTAATGAGTATTTATTCCTAAGATTAAAATGTTTCCCAGATATCAAATTAAGACCAAAACATCATTATATTTCTCATTATCCTTCTTTAATCCTATCTTTTGGTCCACTTAAACATTTATGGACTTTGCGATTTGAAAGCAAACATAAATATTTTAAGAATATCATTAAGCATGCACAAAATTTTAAGAACGCAACTAAATTATTATCGCAGAAACATCAGTTTTTACAAAGTCAATATTCTAAGAATACGTATAGTTCTTTAGTAGAAGCAGATAATGCAAAAGAATATATTTCGGAAAATTTTAATATAAATATTTCTTCTGTTATAACAGATTATTTTTTTGATAACAAAAATGAAAACTGTAAATATGTTGTTTCACAAATTACTTTCAGAGGTATCATGTACAAAAAAGATATGTGTATCTGCATAGGAAAAAATGATTATGATTATTTTACTTTATATAAAATTAATTACATTTTAATAGATAGTCATTATATGAATGTATATTTTGTGGGGACAACAATAGAAGTTATATACAATTCTGATTTTGGAATATATGAACCATTTGAAATTAAAGGCCAAGAATATAATACAGATAAAATCATTTTATATCCATACTCTTCTTTATTTATGCCACATCCTGTCCTTGAAACTCGTTTAAATTCTATTCCTGTTTATATTTTTAAATATGCACCCTTGGATTTATAAGTTCACTTTTTGTAATTATGTAAATAATACTTATATAAATATTATTTTCATTATGTAATGTATATTTGCATATTTTTTATTTTGCAGATGTATTTATTTAAAGTTTGGTCAGCCGACAGAAAACAAAAAGTCTCATTAATAATTAATTCATCAGAAAATATACTATAGGAACTTATTGCAAAAAGCAATAACAAGCTTGGCATTACTGGTTCGATTCTTGTTATGGAAAAGGATGGTACAGTTGTTGATGACAATGACGTTCTAAAACTTTGTTCGTCCGAAATTTTCATGTTACTACAATCAGATGAATCTTGGTCACCTGAAAACACTACCACACTCACACAGTATGGCATCCTGCGATACTATATCTTTAACTTCTGACTTAAGTGAATCTGGTTTATCAGCTTCGTCACGTATCTCATCACCAACAAATGAAACAGTATCACACATTAAAAGACAACCATATAATGAAGAGATTTGGACAAATTTTTGTTTACCTTGGGATACTATAGAAACAGCCGTGCTTAAGGAATTAGAAGCAAAAAAACGCAGTAAATATGTAATAAACACTGTTGTAAATCGTGTAGTTTCAGAAATGAGAAACCTTCAAGAATTTATTCCATCTAAAGCATTCAAGATAATAGCTAAAAAAATTGTTGATAAATATCCACAAACATTCCAAGACATGGACGAGGATGGTAATCGTTTTGGAGATGGGATACACACGCTATATTTAAAACTTCGTGATAGAAATAGTTATCTGAATAGACCACATATGAAAAGATCTTTAATCCAAACTTTAAATATAAATAACTTTAACTTTAACGGGAAGACCAAACGTGTCGACTCCGATCGGGTCATTTTCAGTGTATATTAGTATTTTCAGCAACCAGAGAAATATCTTGAATCAGAAACAGAAGAAACAATAGAAAGTAAGACTGAGTTTCTTCGACAAGTGATTCTCCGACAGGAATCTGTAGCGAACAATTCTGACCTCAAAGATAAAATTTATTCACATCTGGAAGTAACATATCCTGCACAAAGAGTGTTTCTAAATAATATTCACAAACCACCTACAATTCAAGATATTAAAACTTCATGGCCAATACTTTTACAAAAGGAATATATGTTCTGGCATTATGAAAAATTAATGGGGCACTCGATAAATATTTTGAAGGAACAATTGTTAAAGAAACAAACAAAAATACTTAGTTATGGACACTTTAAAAAGTACAATGATATTATTGATTCAACGGACATAATAGAAATTAAATTAATAAAAATTATTATGAAACATTTTAAAGAATATATTTCAATATATTATTTAAAACATATCCTGTAGGTTTAAATATATAATATAATCTCTTTTATATATACTATAGCATTGTTCGTTTTGTCTCTTGAGTGCTCGGAGTCGTTCCGAACAAACCCAGCGTACATGGATGTGATGCATTTAATGCTGCAAATGCTTCGTTGTTCAATTAGAAGAAAGAATTTTACGAATTGATAAATCAAAGAATACTTCAAAGCATTAACAGTGTGAAATGGATCGCACCCAAGTATACGCTGGGTTTATTCGGAACGACTCCAAATAGCTCTCGAGAGACAAAACGAACAATGCTTATATTTTATTTTAAATATATATAATTAAAGTGATTTATTGTATATAGGAGGAAACAACTTTACCAAAAATAGAAGTGCCTATTGCTGCACCATGTGTTATTATTATAGGTAAACTCATTCTCTCTTCGTAATTGCATATATTTAAAAAACTACTGTAATTGTATTTTTATGACGTTTTTGTTATTATAGATGATGCGACATGCCGAATGTTTTATTTATATATAGAAACTACACAAATCGAAAGAACATATTGTTTCTATGAAGCTTTGAAAATGTTGATGTGCGCATATTATATTTTCAACGTAGAATATCCAACACAATGCGCATGCACTTTAGAATTTTTCAGAGATATTTCTTAAATATTCATCCAAGCTG